GGGTGATTTCCTGCTTTCTGTCTCTGTGTCTCTCTCTGTCTGTCTGGCGAGCGCACCCGCCCTATAGCAGAAAACCTCTCCAAAAAAAAGAGAGAAAAGAAAAAAAAAGAAGTCCCTGTACGAGAACATGATAAAGACCTCTTTGGGATCCTTTTGTTTCTCATTTCGAAGTCTGAGTTGTCCAGCTTTTGACTCACTCGGTGTGAGGACTGCACCGCGGTACTCACCACGGAGGAGGTGGTACAGGGTACACGAGTGCTCTTTGTAACAGCCTTGAGGTTTTCCTGCCAGTCTGAAACTATTCGAAATAAAAAGTTTATTTAAAACAAGACCCTACACTTGTTTCCTTTAATACCCTGGCTATAAAGAGAAAGAATTCTTTAAGTGACTTTAAGTATGTTTTCATTTTTATTCCTCAGAACTTCGCCCTTGCATTTAGGGAGCAGAAAATGTTGGCAACATTTTGCTAAAGCTCTAATTCTACTCTCTGAAAAGCCTATTGTGTAGTAATTTTTAAAAATGATCCACATAACTGTATTTAGTAAGAATATACAAGAAATTCCTTTTTTTATTTTTAACTCTGAATAGCTCTTATCATTATCCCCAAGAAGTTTCTAAAAGTATAAATGCATGAACTTTTAACCATGGCTTGAATATTTTGATCTTTCAGCAGACAATTGCCATATGTGTAAAATAGATACTTAGTCTCTTCCTGGTAAATTCATGCTAGCTAAATCCTCTTGCACATTCTGCTACAAAGTGTTCTAGGCTCAGATGGACTTGCTGTGTACATCACACACGTTTATTCTTAGGGTTTAATTTGTAGTAGGCAATCTTACTCAGTTTGCCGGTGGCTTTGTTCGAATAGACAGTGATATTATTAGTGGATCGCTTGAAGGAAGTAGAAGTTCAGTTTAATAATTGAAATATTATAGACACTCCGAATGGAACAAGGATGTTAGTTTGCATCCGAATATGTAATTAGCTCTTATTAAGTAGTTATATTTGACATGAGCATTTGTATGTCATCGATGTTCATGTAATAACATGCTATGAAAGTAGAAGATATGCTTATACCAAATTAAATGTAACGTTTACTGTGTGAAAATGATTTATACGGAATTTGCCGAAATGTGATCACAGGCAGGTCAGCCTTGAAATGAGCATTTCTCGAGCATGTCACTAATGTTACTCTGGAAGACATTGATCAGCCTTCTGTGAACAAGGACGAGAACAGCCCGTTTTCCAAACCGTCGTAGCCGTCCCCGTGCAAACCTGCGGTGTCTCGGGACACTAGAGTGCCACGTGTCTCTGCTACCAGCACCTTGGGCCACACGGGTAGAAACAGGGTCACTTTGCCAGTAACCAGTTTTTGCACAACAGATGAGAGAAACGAGATTTTCCAACCCTCTTATCTGGAACTGGAAGGAAAATAATGGCTATTTATATTGTCTGCCTATTAACGTGTAGGCCTTGGTTTCTGCTTCTATAAGATCACAGATATTGCGTCTGATCAGTTCTAAGGTTCCTTCTAGTAATAAAAAGTTGTAAGTGTTTCTGTGTCAGGGCATAGTCGAAGCCGTTGTTGGGAATGCGAAGTGAGGAGGACACGGCGCTGGCTCTGGCAGTTGCCGCAGAGGAGAGGCGGCGAGGGCTCTGGGACAGGCAGTTGGCAAACTCCCCTCTACATGGAGCACAGGCTACCGGGGCATGCCTGGAGGCAGGACAGGAGGCTGACTTGGGACTGGTCACAGTAACTGGCCGGGAAGTTAGGAGGTGGCCCGTGACGAACAGCTGATGACCGGCCTTGACTGTCACGCCAGCAAGTGTCATTTTGTGTTCTCTCCATTGCCGTCTCCTGCTCTACCCCGTGGTGTGCGAGGCTCACACTGGTGTGTCTGCTGATGACCGCGTGTTAAAGCTAGTGGGAGCAGCTCCGGAACTGCACGGGCCGGGATAGGAGGCGGTGTCTTTTCCCTCTGAGGGTTGTGGAAAGGGCCTCTTCTTTACTTCCATTATCCTTTTATTTATCGCAGTTTTCCTTTTTAATTTATCTACTAGAGACATAGCATGTCAGTGGGCTGAGAACACTGAACCTGGGCCAGGTCCACTTCAGATCAAAGAAACTGCTCAAAGCGTGACCTTACAAGTTTTTTAAAGAATTCTTTTATTTAACTTTATTTGTGTGTTTTACTTAGACCAGAGAGGGACAAAGTGAGAGAGAGAGAGAAAGTGAGAAAGCAAGCCACCAGGTCTGAGACTCGAACCACGGTGGGCCATGTGGGAGTCCAGTGCCCTTAACCACCATGCCACCTGCTGGCCCCTATTTATTTAATTTTTTATCATTTACTCTAGGGTACATGCGCTCACCAGAGCAATACAGAGAGAAAGTAAGAAAGCAAGTGGCCAGGTCCAGGACTTGACGTCCAGTGCCCTTAACCACCATGCCACCTGCTGGCCCCCAACGAGATTTGTCACCTGAGCTTCAGTGTCCTTATGCACAGAATGAGGATAATAATAATTGGGTTTTTAAATGACACAATAAATTGCTATTTGAGGTGCTTGGTACACAATAAATTCTTCATTTTCATTATTATTAATGTATTTGCTGGGACCAGCAGTTAGCGTAATGGCTATGTCGCTGGACTACCCACGTAGTCGACCGCGGTTCGCGTCCCGGACCTGGTGGCTTAAAACTCATGCCGGGCGCGTGTG